AAAGAGGATTGAAGGGGAGAAGGTACTTACCAGTCCCTCTCTGGTGGGGCAGGGTCCCCTAAATCCTGGGTAGGGTTCCCCCTAGCCCAGGAACAGCATACCACTGATGGCAGGCCCACTGCACATGCATGCAGTTTAAAAGGGCCTGCCAAACCCCCCCCCAAAACAGTCAGGCTTCGGGAGTGGCGAGAGATGTGCGGGTGAAAGCCCACTGTGCCCCCGCTCCGGTGAAGTCCCTCAGTGACCTCCAACAGCCATGGAGCACCCCACCAACCCCCAGCACAGCCAGAAGTAAGCGGGCTCCATGGTAGGAGGGGGTTAACCCCAGGTGGTGGGAAGAGGTGGCTGAGTGGGCTGAGGAGGGTCTCATCCCACCCCAGCCCCTAATTTGCCCAGGCCCCTAAGGGAGCCATGTGACTGGATCCTTGCAAACAGGCCATGAAAACAGGCACACTTGTCTGCCAGGTGCATGAGTTGGCACGGAGTTTCCACAGGAGGGCAAGCGGGAGAGCCGGGGGCCCTGCCTGTGCACCCCCTTGGGTAGGCATTCCCAGCCATAGCTGGCCTACCAGCAACATGCCATGGATGGGCACACGCCACAACGCAAGGGTCCTCTTGGGGCTGAGGTACCCCCCCTCTGGCTCCTCAGAGGCCTCTACCCAGACAGAGCCCATGGAATCTCTCGCTGTCAGCAGCAGGGCTGCCTGTCACTTTTTCAGGCTCTGGTGTCTGAGAGCATGGCCATCTCCCCTTGTGAGGTATGCTCCCTTTTGAGGTCTCTGGTGCACCAGCTGGAGGAGCTCCAGGCTGCAGTCCAGAGACTGCATGCCATCAGGGACTGTGAACAGGAGATCAATTCCTACTGCCAGGCCTTTCTCCCCCAGGAGACAGAGTGTAGACCACTGTCTCCCTCCAGGACAAGGGAGGACTCGGGGACCTCCCATTCTGTCCAGCCAAGGGGTTGGAACAAGGTGGTCAAGGGCCCCAAGACCCGCCGCACCAAGGTCCCTCCACCACTGGAGCTTTGCAACAGGTACGAACCTCCTGCAGCCCCAGCAGAGCCTGCTAAGCTGCCAGCTCCTGCAGAAAACACGGGCTTTTCTGTAGTTACCACCCCCGTTCTCCCTAAAACAAAATGCAAAGTGTTTGTCATGGGAGACTCCATCCTGAGGGGGACTGAGGGGGCAATCTGCCACCCAAGCCCTACGAGGAGAGACTAGAGAAACTGGACCTTTTCAGCCTCCTCAAGAGAAGGTTGAGAGGCGACCTTGTGGCTGCCTATAAGTTCATCACGGGGGCATAGAAGGGAATTGGTGAGTATTTATTCACCAAGGCGCCCCCAGGGGTTACAAGAAATAATGGCCACAAGCTAGCAGAGAGCAGATTTAGATTGGACATTAGGAAGAACTTCTTCACAGTTAGAGTGGCCAGGGTCTGGAACGGGCTCCCTAGGGAGGTGGTGCTCTCCCCTACCCTGGGGGTCTTCAAGAGGAGGTTAGATGGGTATCTAGCTGGGGTCATCTAGACCCAGAACTCTTTCCTGCTTATGCAGGGGGTTGGACTCGATGATATATTGAGGTCCCTTCCGATCCTAACATCTATGAATCTATGAAATCTATGAACCCCGACCCCTTAGCCTCGGAAGTTTGCTGTTTTCTGGGAGATTGTATCTGAGACATTGTGGAGAAGATCCCTAAGCTGCTCCAGCCCACTGACCACTATCCTATTCTCCTGATCCATGTGGGCACCGATGACATGGCTCAGAGTGCTCCCAGCCAGGTCATGAAGCACTACCGGGATTTGGGAGTGGCTAAAGGGTCTGGGGGTGCAGGTGGTGTTTTCTTTGATCCTCCAAGTCTCGGGCTACAGGCTGAGGAGGGGGAGGAGTATACAGGTTGTAGACCAAAGACTGCAACACTGGTGTCATTGGGAAGGCTTTGGCTTTCATGACCACAGTCTGCTCTTTGGTGAGAAAAGCAGCGAGCTGCTGGGAAGGGACGGCCTCCACCTCTCTCCACTGGGGAGGAGGCTCTTCTTAGCCAGACTGGCTGACCTGCTTCACCGGGCTTTAAACTAAGCCCACCGGGGGACAGGGGGACTACCGCCACTGCTGACCCACTGAGCAACCCTTGCAAAGCCAGCAGGCCAAGGTACTTATGGGAGCCCACCCCTGCCTGAGCCCTGGAACAATCTGTAGGCAAGGCAAGGGCCCCCAGTTGGACGCTTGCCTGCCTGTATGCGAATGCCAGGAGCTTGGGGAATAAACAGGAGGAACTTGTCCTCCTGCTTAACACAAATAATTACAATGTCATAGGGATAATGGAGACCTGGTGGGACTCCAGCCATGACTGGACCATGGGTATAGATGGCTATACCCTGTACAGGAGAGATCGAGTGGACAAAAGGGGCAGGGGTGTAGCTCTCTATGTCAAGGAGAGTTATGTGTCCCTGCAAACTGATATTGGTGAGCAGGGTGGATGACTGGAGACCCTCTGGGTTCAAATCCATGGGTAACATGGCACAGGGGAAACGATGGTGGTAGTCTACTACAGACCTCCCACCCAAAGTTAAGAGCTTGACCAGGAGTTCACCAGGGATTTGGCTGAGGCAGCATGCTCCTGGTCTATGGTTGTCATGGGAGACTTCAACTACCCAGACATCTCATGGGCTCAGCTAAATCCGAGTAGTGGCAAAGCTTCCTCTCATGTGTGCATGACCTCTATCTGATACAAGAAGTCTATGGGCCAAAGAGAGGTAAAGTGCTGCTCTACCTGGTACTGGAAATTGGGGATGACCTAATCAGCAACCTAATGATCAATAGGAAGCTGGGTGATAGCGACCACGAGCTGATCACATTCTCTGTCTGCCATAAAGCTGGCAAGTCAGTCAGTAATACAGAAGTCCTCAACTTCAGGAAATCTGACTTTGACAAGCTCAGGAGGCTTGTTGGCGAGGCCCTAAGGGACCACAACCCCAAGAGGAGGGAAGTTGAGGAAGAGTGGTTGCTCCTCAAGGGAGCGATCTTCAATGTACAAGCTAATGCTATTCCATTTCAGAGGAAAGGC